CTAAAATGGCTCATTTTGTGCCTTGTAAATGCACAACGGATGCCGTAAGGGTGGCTTCTCTGTTCTTTCAGGAGATTTACAGATTGCATGGTTTGTCGTCGTCTATTGTTTCTGATCGAGACACACGGTTTTTGAGCCACTTTTGGCGTTCCTTGTGGAACTTTTGCATACGCGACTTGACATGAGCGCACCGCATACCATCCCCAAATGGATGGACAGACGGAGGTGACTAACCGTGCTCTAGGTAATATGCTTCGATGTCTGGTTGGTGAGAACATTCGCGCTTGGGAATCTCGTCTCTGTCAAGCGGAATTCGCTCACAACCGCGCTACTAATAGGAGTTCGGGTTATAGCCTCTTTGAGGTTGTTTACAGTCTTCTGCCTCGGGGACCTTTGGATCTTACTACCATTCCAGACAAGCGTCGCTTACATGGACGCGCAATCGATTTTGTGGAGGCATTGCAGGACACACATCGACAGGCTCATGATCAGCTTACTCTGTCCGTGCAGAAGTATAAGCGACGTGCTGATGGGAAGCGTCGCGAGGTGATCTTCGAGCCAGGTGATTTAGTTTGGGTTGTTCTCACCAAAGATCGCATGCCATCGCAGGAGTACAACAAGCTTCGTTCTCGGAAGATTTGACCCGTCGAAGTACTGCAGCGCATCAATAACAATGAGTACAGGTTAAAGCTTCCGCCTCACCTCAAGACCGCTGACGTTTTTAACGTCAAATACATTTCTAAGTATCAAGGCGACAATGACATTCTAGATTCAGAGGCGAATCTTCTTCTACCCGGAGGGCCCTGATGCAGCACATCTTATCATATCTATCTTAAACTACTATTTCCTTATTACTTTTCTTATGGGTTTTAACTTATGTTCGGTTTTCGTATTACTTGGGCTTCAAGACTTTATTTCCTTTTCGTATTCGTTTAGGGTTTTCATTTAGCAGCTATTATAAATAGCTTCCTCTTTGTAAGAAGCGGACGACCTTTTGATTTTATTGAATTATTCAGAGCTTTTCAAGCTTATATCTCTCTTGTTTCTCGGCTATTCCTTCGAATCAACGAGCTACAAGCTTTCTCCTTGTTCGGCTATTCAGTGAATCAACGAGCAATCGAGACGTTATGTTTACCCTACGCCAATCATCATCGAAGTAGTTATCATCTCCAAAAATCAAACATTTCAGAAAACAAGATATGCTAGTTTCGTTTTGAGATTCATATTGGTAAAATTCTATTGAGAGCATATATTATTATCATGCAAATACCAAATCTTGACGATAACGTTTATAAAAGCTATTTCTCACTAGCAAAACATGCCAACAATTAGTTAGTCACCATCTAGTGATTAATCACGAACCAAAAGCCTTTTCAACTTCTTATTCAAGACAACCAAATGAAAACTACTAAAAGAAAAAAAATCTATCACAGAATTCCACAATAAAAAAAGAAAAAGAAAAAAAAACAGTTCAATAGTTCTTGTATATATAAACATGCCGAACCAGCACCAATTGCAACTAATATAACCATAGAGATTGGCCGTATCAAGATTATAGAAATCATAAAAATCAAAGATCTAGCAGAATGTGGACATTTCCCAATATACATGTATTAGAAAAATTAGTTTTATCTTATGTAATTCCATACAAGTTTAGAAGATTAGTTGATTTCATCTCTCTACAAATCTCTCCATCTTTACATGAGAGACTAATAATAATTCTTCCTGCACACCTTTGTGTTCTTAATCTCATCACTTTATCACCACTCCAATCATTTAAATGCACATACAAATCAACTAACCTAAGCAATAATAATGATAAAAAGTAGATTAATCAAATCAAAAACTTACGTTGTCATAAATCTCATAGTCATCACAATAAATATTGACGTTTTTGATCCCTAAATCGAGTGATTCACTTAAACCACGAATCAGAGCCCTAAACTCAACTCCTTTCCGGTCAATGCTGGCTTGGCTGAATGGTTCCTTCAACTCATCCGTCTGATCGCAAATCGCGACACGGAATTCATCCCCCACAGCCACAATGTCGTCACTCACCAAACCCTTAAGTACAATCTGTAGATGGCATCGTCCACAAATTTTGCCGCCGGAGACTGGGTTCCGACGACAATCTTAGAAGAACAAGCGCCTTCACGGTTAAGGATATCTCCGGTTCGCCGTTTCTTGGAAATCAAGCCTGCTAGTTCGTCTCTTTCCATGACTTAAACGTTTTAGTACAAAATTTAATCTTAGTGAATATTATACTAGGGTTTAAAATTTAAAATTTCTCATGCAACATTCAACCCTAGCAGCATCAATACCCTAAGAAGATTTTCTATTTTCTTCAAGATTTCTGTAATCTAGTTGTTATTTTTGGTTTTAAGTTTCTGATGTTTTTTTTTCATGTTTTTAGTTTATTTATTATGTATCAGTTGTTTTTCTATTTTGGTTGATTTTAGAAGGAATCGATTCCATTTTTTTTTTTGTTCTTTTGAACGTATAATTATTTATTTATTTATAGTAATCATGACTATTTTGTAGCTTATTAACTTAAAACTAATTAGGTGATCTATGAAAAACTTTTAAAATATGGTAGTCCTAGGTGGTTGCCTAGCTTGCTTATCCTCTGGGCAGGCCTGTCTTTCATGAACCAAACTTTGTATATTTCTTGCGCATAAACCTAAAAGAATGTTAACACATAGTTGTAATGCTAGTAATTAACATATGGTTACAGAAAAGACTTGTGGCAGAATTTACAAATTTGGTTACAGCTTGTTTATTTGCCAATACACATAATTGAGTAGCATTATGTTATGAGACCTATATATCGCATGATACACCCAAAAGTTTAAGTTTAGTTTAACAAATACTGAACATATACCATAACATGATGTATACGATAGCTATGGCCATGTGTGTTTTTGCGTCTACTTTTGTAGATTAATTTACAAATGAACGATGATCATGTTGTAACTTGTAATTAATTTATTAGAAGTTTGGATTGCATGTAGGCTTTGTGAATTTGTTTGTATTAAAAGCTATTAGTAAAAGTCAAATAGAGTTTTATTTACTTATTTTCACAACTTAAATAGGTTATAAAAGTAATAAAAAAGGTAACAAAATTTAACCTAGTTGACTATATTTATTTGAAAGTGCAAATTTGGTATATATATGTAATAGAAATTAGAAAAAAATAGTCAATGGAAAATTTTATTTCATGTTTAAAGTTATGTTAGTTAATTAATAAAAAATTGGTCAATAATTTATTAGAAGGAAAAAATTCTGCTAGATTTTAAGGTATGTCATTAAAACGGTAAAGATCATGCAATTTTGATCCAACAGTCATCGTTTATTAGAAAAATTGACATAGAACTATTTCAAAATATTATAAATAGGGGTTCATGCGCTTTACAGTTTCCTACACTTACAAAAGATAGATAATCATCATTTTCACTATTTCAAATATTTACTTTCACAAGCTTCTGCATCTCCGTTCATCTCGGATTCTTGTTATTTTTCTTTGAATCGTACTCCTCCTCTTCTAAAGGTGTGTGTCCAATATAATTTTATCATTATGTAGTTTTGTTCTTTTTGAGGTTGGACTCTAAATCACTATTATATCTATACATATTTTTTTTATGTTTGTATTGTGATGTATACTGTATTTATCCTTTGATTAAGAGTTCATTTTTCGGTAATGTTAATTTTAAGATCTAGTTTTTTCTTTTCAAAAAGTTAAAACATAAGTTTTAATTAAATATGAAAGATTTGTCGTTTCCTATCATCATACCTGTGTTTGAAAAAAAAGATTTGGAACCTATTAGCAATTGGAGTGGAGGATTGCCAAATATTTATATATTGTTCACAAATCTCTTAAAGTCTGGATGTGGGATAAATTCTAACATTTTCTATCCTATTGATTTTTCTGTTTTTTAAAACCCTAGTTCTCAATTTTTTCTCTTTTGTTATATAAAAATTGACTATCTAATTATTTATTAATTTTTTTATCCAAATTGATGTAGGAACTGAAATTATTTGTATTTAGGAATTGATTGTCATATTTTATTGCTGTGTAGAATTCATTTCACTTCTTGTGTATAGTAGCCAATTTTGTCTTTCCTTTTTTTTTGTAAATAAAATATTTTTTTAGCAAAAAGTCCAAATTATCTTTGTAAACTTTCTCTTTTCCATGATATATCTATCTAATATGCAGTTAATATTGTCTTGTTTAGTTTTTTTTAAAACATATGTGTGTTGATGTGAAATAATTAGTATAAAACTTGGATTTCAAAATGTAATTTTGCAAAATAAAACAAAAGAACAAGGGGGTAACATGTTTAATATTAGTTCGTTTTAAGCTATACTAAAAACCTAGACGTTTTTACTCCCATTTAATACTAATATATTGATAATAACTGATCTCAAAACAAACTTATTTTTCTGTTTATGCTTGAAGAGAAACATGAGTTCTCAATTCTCTGTATGTATTTATCAACCATATTTACGCTTCTGCTCAATTCATTTAAGTGATAACAAAACAACTTTTTAATGATAGGATTTTTGAAATGGAAAGAGGTGAAGGGAGCCACAAGTTTCCTGGTGGAGAAGAACCTAACACCAAAAACGCCTCTAACAACGATACTTCTGCTGCTGATGCTGGTCCTAGTAGTGGTCCGTTGAAAAGAGGACGTGGCCGACCTAAGGGCTCGCAAAATTCGAAGAAGTCGAAGCGGAGTAACAGATTGATAAAATCGATTCCTTTCTTTCAAGGCAATATTAATAAAGTAAATCAAGAAACCGGAAATGATGAGCTTGTAAGTAGCTTGATGATACGATTCAACGCTGTAAGAAGGCGTCTGAGCCAAGTTAAGAATGTCCGAGGTGGGGTTTCCATAGCTCTACGCACTTTCAAGGACTTGCAATTGCGAACGAACACAAAGGCCAGAGTGGGTTCCGTTCCAGGAATTAAAGTAGGAGACATCTTCTTCTTATGGGGAGAAATGGAACTTGTGGGGCTACATGCAGTCCCCATTTGTACTGACTTCATGAAATTTAAAGACAGCGGAGAGGATAAAAGATTAGCTATTAGTGTTGTCTCTGCGGGAAAGAATGCTGACGAAGCTCAAGATCCCGATAGCTTGATCTATACAGGGTTTGGTGGTCAAGAATCTGATCAGAAGCTTAATAGGATGAATCTTTCGTTAGAGGAAGCTCTGAAAATAAAAAGTGTTTTGAGGGTTATTAGAGCCGTGGAAGATGAAAAAAGGAAGCATGGGAACATATACATATACGATGGGCTTTATTCCATCACAGATATGTGGGAAGAGAAAAGTGCAAATGGTTTCAAGGTATTCAAATTCAGATTTGTGAGGCAGCCTGATCAAAAACCTGCCTTTGGAGTGTGGAAATCAATAGAGCAATGGAAGGAAGGGTTGATTACAAGACCAGGTCTTGTTCTTCAAGATCTCTCTTCTGGAGCTGAGAATCTAAAGGTTTCTCTGGTGAATGAAGTTGATGATGAGAAGGGTCCTTCCTCTTTTAGTTATATCGCTTCCCTAAAGCACTCAGTCATTGATGTTCCACCTATGGTTGATTTATGCACTTGTCGACCTAAATCATGTTGTTCCGGAGATGATTGCCTTTGCGTTCAGAGAAATGGAGGTGAGTTACCTTATGTTGATAGAGTTTTAGTCACCCGTAGACCAATGATTTACAGTGCGGTGACTCTTGTCCTTGTTCTAATGACTGCAAAAACAAGATGATTCAGACTGGGGCTGAAATTCAGTTTCGAAGTGTTTAAGACGATGGATTGTGGGTGGGGGTTTAAGGTCTTTAGATCCAATTCGAGCAGGAAGTTTCATCTGTGAATTTGCTGGTGATATTATACAAAAAGGTGACGAAGAGACAGATGATTATCTTTTTGATACTTCACGGGTTTATAAATCCTTTCAGTGGAACTATGAACCTGAGCTTGTAGGTGAAGATGTTTTTGAGAAAGTCTCTGAGGTGATTGGTTCTTTTACTGCATTTGTGATAAGTGCAAAGAAATCAGGGAATGTGGCTCGTTTTATGAACCATAGTTGCTCTCCCAACGTTATGTGGCAACCAATTTCTCGTGAACAAAAGGGTCTATGGTGTATTCACATTGGATTTTTCGCTATTAAGCATATTCCTCCATTAACGGAGTTAACGTATGATTATGGAGCATTTAGAGGATATGGTAAGAAGAAAACTTGTCTATGTAGATCAAAGAAATGCAGTGGCTCATTTTGATTTTGATGATATTCTTGTCTTTCCTGCTTATGTTAAGAAATTCCTTGTTAATTTTTTTTCTTTTAAACTTGACTGTCTATTTTTCTCTACATTGAGATCTCTATATTATTATTTAAAGAACCATTTTAATAATAAAGTTTTATTTTGTACTAGCATGTTTCCGCAGGACTTTGTAATAATTTTTAAAACATTTTTTAATCATCTTATATTATTTTATTCTTATTAGTATTGTAGGTAATATATTTTTTTGTTAGTGTAGAGGATAAAAATTCAGACTAGTTAAATAAGGTCCAGTTACCCGCAACTTCACCATCTACAACCATTTTGTCTCTCTTACCAAGTTGTTCACAATGAAAGATGTATTGTCTTCAGATAGCCTACTCGCTCTTGGAATTTTCCTCACAGAAAAACTTGACCATGAAAAGCATATTTTAAGCATAATTATATGCTATGGTACTGTGTTTATCTTTGCTTATATCAGGTTTTCTCAAGCAAGAAGAAGACTGTTCGCAAAACCGAACTCCGAGATCATACTCTATGAATATATTCTATTTTCCTTAATATTTCTGTAATCTAGTTGTTGTTTTTGTTTTTTAAATTTCTGATGTTATTTCGTGTTTTTAGTTTATCTATTATGTATTGGTTGCTTTTCTATTCTTTTTTTTTTAACATTGACTTATTATTCTATTACAAATTATGAGAATTATTACATCGACAATTCTACAACGGACAAGTCTTCCGCCTGCAAACATGTCAAACGGATCTCTATGCACCACGTTGAAAACCTCCTGTAGGCTTGTTTCCATTAATCTGCAAATTAATAATAAATCATACTTTTCGGGACTCGGAACCTAAATCTCTTGGTGTAAAAGCATTCATGTACCCATTAACCAGTAGGCTAAGGGGGCTTCCATATGATACACCTCCAAATTTAAGTGTAGTTTAAAAAATACTGAGCATATACCATATATGAGGTATACGATAGCTATGACCATATAATAAATCTAACCATTTATTTAGGAAACTTTGTAGTTATACTGAATCTATGTTGAGAAAGGTTAATTTTAGTATCAATCCTCTCATTTTTTAATTATTCTCCACTAAAAAATCCCCTCATTATACTTCTATCGTAAATTTTGGACAGTAAAGCGGATCACAAATGAATTTGTTACTCCATTTTAAAAACAAATTGATAATTAACAGTCTTTTAGTGTTACAATAATGACAACTGCAAGAACAGCATTGGAACTAAAAAAAAGCACCGGTAATGATATATACTATTAGAAGAAACCAATATAAATGAAGAATGACTCTCTCTCTCTCTCTTTTCTTAAAGAAAACTTGTAATGCAATTTTTTTTTCAATATATAATAAATACACCTTATTCTGAACCGTAACTTGGGCTACAATGTGTGTGTGTGTGTTTGTATTTACTTTTGTAGATTAAATTTACAAATGCACGATGATCGTCTTGTAACTTGTAATTATTTTATCAGAATTTTGGATTACATGTAGGGTTTGTGAATTTGTTTGGATTAAAAGCGATTAAAAAAATAGTCAAATGGAGTTTTGTTTTCTTATTTTCTCAAGTTTAAAAAGTTAAAAAGGTAATAAATTTTAACCTATTTGACTATATTTATTTGAAAGTGCAAATTTGGTATATATGAGTAATAGAAAGTAGAAAAAAAAATAGTCACTGGAAAAGTTTATTTCATTTTTAAATTTATATTAGTTAATTAATAAAAAGTTGGTAAATAAATTATTAAAAGGAAAACAATCTGCTAGATTTTAAGGTATATCATTTAGACGGTAAAAATCATGCAATCTTGATCCAACGGTCATCGTTTATTAGAAAAATTGACATAGAACTATTTCAAAATGTTACAAATAAGAGTTCATACACTTAACAGTTTCGTACATTTACAAAAAACAAATAATCATCTTTTTAACTATTTAAAATATTTACTTTCACAGCTTTTGCATATTTTTTCCTCTCGGATTTTTGTTGTTTTTCTTTGAATCGTAGTCCTTGTCGAAAGGTGTGTGATGATCCAGTATAATTTTTATCATTATTTAATTTTGTTCTTTTTGAGGTTGGACTTTAAATCAATATTATATCTATACATATAATTTTTTTGTTATGTTTGTATTGTGATGTATATTGTATTTATCGTTTGATTACGAGTTCATTTTTACATAATGCTAATTTTAAAATCCAGTTTCTTTCTTTTCAAAAAGTTAAAACATAAGTTTTTAATCAAATCTAGAACATAAGTTTTTAATTAAATATGAAAGATAACAAGTATCTAGAGAGATAATATAAACTTTGAGATAGCAAAAAGTAAGATCCTCCTCCTTGTTGGAAAGGATAAAGTACTTATAAAATTTTAGATGATTCGGTTAGTATACCGGGTTGGCCCGTAGACAACAAGTCAGGTAAGTTGGTCTATGACCCGGTTTGACTGGATCTGAATCTTATGCTTGCGTCACGCTTCTGAAAGTTTCACCAACTTTTTCTGGTGTGTTCTGTCTGCCACGAGACCGCTCCATGGCGCGTCCATTTTTTCCTTAATGTACGGGCCGGTTCGGCGGTTCAGCTCACTGATCCTCTGCTTTTCCCTATTGCTCCTGAAAAAGGTCACTGTCACCTGAAACGTGTACCCAAGATGCATTAAATGCCAATCTCGTGGGGTTTTAAGGGTATGTTTGATCAGATCAGAGTAAAGCATATTCCTATTATCAAATGGAGAGAAATTTAAATAGTGTTTTCCGCTTATGTATTTACTCATACCTAGCCCGGATCCCTCGAAAATGGGACCGGGGTGCCGGGGGGGGGGGTTGCTTGAACGGTTCTACTCTCTGGGTACATGTGCGGGCCACCTTTCCTTATATCCCGATCCTTCCGGATCACCGAGTTTGGATCTAGGACATAGAGAAGGTGACCTCTCCTCCTCCTGACCACTCAGTTCACAACCTCCTTGTGTCTGACAGCGTGGCCTACGTTGTCAGATACGAGGAACCAAGAAACCGCTGGCCCATCATGTCCGACCTCTCGAATCCAACTGGATTCGAGGCTTAGTATTATATGCTTAGGTCGTACTGGACCGTAAATCCAATAAAAGTCCTAATTTGGCCTGGGGGACCGTACGTGCAAAAAAGCTATGGATGCCACGTGAAAGCATGTGATTCGTCCACGTAAGAATGATTGAATTTATCCCCAACAATACCCATGTTTGAAAAAAATATTTTGAACCATTTTCTATCCTCAAGATTTTTTTGTTTTTGAAAACCCTAGTTCTCAAATTTCTTTCTTTTGTTATATAAAAATTAACTATCTAATTATTTAACAAAATTTCCAGATTGAAGTAGGAACTGAAGTTATTTATATTTAGGAATTGGTTCTCATATTTTATTGCTGTTTAGAATTCAATTCACATCTTGTTTTATAGTAACCAATTTTGTCTTTCCTTTTTGTTTTTAATATAAATCAATTAATAAATTTTTTGACAAATATTCCAAAAACAAAATTTAGCAAACAGTTCAAATTATCTTTGTAGGCTTTCTTTTTTCCTTGATCTATCTAATATGCAGTTAATATTTTCTTGTTTATTTTTTTCAAAAATCATATGTTTATTGATGTGAAATAATTAGTATAAAATACTTGGAATTAAAAATGTAATTTGGCAAAATAAAACAAAAGAATAAGGGTGTAACATGTTTAATATTAGTTTGTTTTAAGCTCTAAAAGTCTAGACGTTTTTACTCCCATTTGATACTAACTAGGTGGTTGCCCGCACTAAACATGGACTAGGTGGTTGCCCGCACTAAGCATGGACATAATTTTTTTAAATAAAAAACGATCTTAGTTTGTGATACAAAACTGACATTATAACCAATTATAGAATTATTCTACTTGAATATAGAAATATAAAAACGATTATCATATAACATTAAAACCAAATTGTTTTATAAATATATAATAATTTTATAATAGATAAAACAATTAAAAATCAAAACATAAACTAAATTAAATTTTTTTAAAAACAACAATGAAAACATCAGTCATAACAAATATAAGAATACGATGACATCACTATCATGCATTTCTAATTTAATAAGTTGTCGCACGTTTGTCTTTATTCTTTATCTTCAGCCAAATTCTGAAATTTCGATTGAAAGGAAAAATATATACAAAAATTGAATTTAAATAATTGACATTTATAAATCAAACAAAACCCTATATTTTATATTAATAATACCAACTAATATGCATTTTCTTGAAAACTTAAAAAACTGATCTAACTTAAAAGATTGAAAAAATAAATTAATTTGTGATGTGTCTTATCAAATTTTTTATTAGCCCTCGTAGAGTGCATTTAAAATTGAACATTGATTTATATATTTCTTCTTATCTTTATTAGATATTTGTACAATATTTTTTTAGTTTAGAAGAAACCAGTAATTTTATTTTATCGGGTGTAGAAATATCCATACGTCTATCTATATTCTTTCTAATTAATATCTCTTTGTATAAGAATTACTGATTTGGAAAGATCATGTGAACGATATTGCATATGTGTGCAAGTGTATAAAAAGATTGTTGAAAACTTTCATCATGTCACTCGGGGAGAAGCAGAACTCTTATGA